GCCCACAAAATACAACGCAAATTTCAAGAATAAACAACACGATAAGGAACGTTTGTAGAAAATAGAACGTTGTATATTTATTATCTTGTGAATAGGGTAAAAAAGATTAATGTTTTAGTTCGTTTAAGCAAAAATGTGATTTTGACAGAAAATGTCTTTGTTCGCTGTCTTTCAACAGAGTAATGTCTGTTTCTTTTGTTTTTGTATAGTTGTAAAGAAAAAAGGGGCTATCAATTTAAGTTGAAAAAAAGAGAGTGTGAATGAGGAATAAAGATAAAAGGAAAATGTACTTATGAATTTGTGGGGAAAATTGTGAAAATGGCCTACCTCGGAAACGCGTTCGAATCTGCGCAGTATGTAAACACTGGTCCTTCCAACTGTAAAAAAGAAAACCAAAATGGCGGCGCCCGCGTTTTATGCCGAGTGGTCTCGGTCAGTTAACGTGAAATCTCGTTGCCTCGTGATTCGCATGCAAATCGTGGTCGGTCCGCAGCTGTATAAAGCAGGCTCGTTTCTGCTGTTTCAAACGGAAGGCTTTCGGCTCGTGAGAAGGTTGGACGTGCGACACCGGTTTTCTTTGTGCCTACCTGCTATCACCAGTTGAATTGTTGAGTTACACACCACAAGCTATTTCGGCAATGGACAAGTTCGATCTAAAGTTGATCCCAGAATTCGACGGCTCCCCCACGGGCCCGACTATCGTCGAATGGTTTGAAAAGGCCGAACGTGTTTGCAGGGTGTCCAAAATAAAGGAACCTGCACTAGTCATCCCACTGAGACTCACGGGAGGAGCCTACGCAGTATATCAACAACTCGGGGACGATGCTGACCTAGAAGAGATCAAGGACGCCCTGTATACGGCCTTTGGAATAGATCCATTCATCGCTTGGAAACAGTTCGTCGGACGACGGCTCGAGCCGGGTGAGACCGTGGATGTTTACCTGGCTGATTTGCGAAGGCTGGCAGTACCGTTTGGCGGAGCAACGGACCGCATACTGGGGTGCGCCTTCCTGGCAGGGCTTCCAGACGACACCAGTCGGCTCCTGCGAGCGTCTTCAAGATTGGACACACTGGGAATTGACGAATTGCTAGCCAGGGCCCGAAACATCTTGAAGGACACGGAACAGATCGCGGCAGCCGTGAGAACGCCTGAGACACCGAGGGAGGGCCCAAAGTGCTACAAGTGCGGTGGACCCAACCATTTCTCTAGGGACTGCCGGAGCCGAAGTGACGTAGGAGGGAGCGGCAGGCGGAACCGTGCACGACTACGCTGCTATCGCTGCAAAGAGTTGAGCCATGTAGCACAGGATTGCTCGGGAAACGAGTCCGGGGACAAGGTGCTGTCGCAACCCTTGCCCCCTCTCGGTCAGTAAATGCGGCATTGCCTGTTATCAACGTGTACGGCGCTCGTTGACACTGGATGTTCCCGATCGATCGTTAGTGCGGATCGATGCGTGACATGGAACAGTCAACAAATCGAGATTCGGACGATTGACGGGGTGTCCCGGGCCTGTTGTGGTGTCGGGACTGTGTCAGTCCTAACAGACGGAGGGAGTCATGCCAAAGTCGACGTCTTGGTGGCACGTCAAAGGCCCCTCGGGTACGACCTGCTACTTGGGATTGATGCGATCCGAGCGTTAGGAGGCATGATGATCACGCCAGCCGGAAATGTGGAACTGGGTGAAAGAAGAAAGGTGTGTGCAGCCCTTTGCGTTAGTGAGCCGGATTTCGACGTCTCCTTCAATTCCGACGAGAGAGTGTGGACCGCCAGGTGGAAATGGGCCCAAAAAGACCCGCCAGTTCAGCTTCGCAACAAGGTCGCTGAGTACAAAGTTCCAGACAGCATCAGAGGAAAATACGAGAAAGAGCTTCAGCAGTGGATTGCGAACGGCTGGCTGATTCCGTACCCCAGGAAAGACTGGGACCCCAAAGGGTCTGATTCCCTTGATGGCAGTCGTGCAGGAGCAGAAACAGAAGGTGCGTCCGGTACTCGATTACCGCGAATTGAACGACTTTGTGGATGCTTTCACTGCCGATGCAGAAGCGTGCGCACATAAGTTGAGAACGTGGCGGCGGCAGGGAGTCAATGTGTCGCTTCTGGATCTGCGGAACGCATATCTTCAGATTCACATCGACGAAGCGCTGTGGCCATTTCAAACGGTTATTTTCAAAGGCCAACGCTTCTGTCTTAAGCGGCTAGGATTTGGGCTAAATGTAGCGCCACTCATCATGAAATCCGTTATAGACGCCATCGCATCGCAAGACCGCACAATTGAAAGTGCCACATCAGCATACGTTGATGATATCTTCATTAATGAAAGTTTGGCCTCTGCATCGCGTGTAAGACAACACTTTTCGGATTACGGTTTGGTGTGCAAGGATCCGGTGCGACTGAGAGATGGAGCAAAGAGTTCTTGGCTTGCAGGTCTGGGAAGAAAATGGCACCCTCCGATGGAAACGAGGAAGTCAAATTCCGGAAGCCCCTGATGTGTTGACCCGGCGGCGCGTATTTTCGTTGTGTGGGAAACTTGTTGGACACTTCCCAGTGTGTGGATGGCTCAGGGTGGCAGTTGCATTCGTCAAGCGCCTGGCAACCGCAGCAACCAATGGATGGGATGATAACATCAAAGATCCTCTCTCTGTCGCATACTAGCAGAGATGTTAAGTAGAGTGCGGGAACTGGATCCCGTCGGAGGAGACTGGTGCATGAGTGGTGACGAGATCACAGTCTGGGTGGATGCGAGTTCCGTGGCGACAGGAGTGGCATTGGAAGTAAACGGAAATGTCATCGAAGATGCGTGCTGGCTGCGTCCGACTAATGATGCCAGGCACATTAATTTGGCTGAACTCGATGCGGCGCTTAAAGGGTGAATTTGGCTCTCCAGTGGGAGGCGACAACGTTGCACTTGGTCACTGATTCGGCGTGTGTGCACCGGTGGATTTCAGACACCTTGACCGGGAAGGCACGGGTGAACACAAAGGGCGGCTGGTGAGATGCTGGTCAGGCGACGGCTGGGCATTTTGCGATCGTTGGTGGACGAATATGGATTGACCGTAGACGTGACACTTGTGCAGTCCTGTCAGAACCGTGCAGATCGCCTCACCAGAGTACCGCACAGGTGGCTAGAACTGCTCAAGAGAGGAGAACCGGCACTCGAGAGCTGTGCAGTGGCAGGGGAGACGACTGGATGAGGACCAGGTTGCCAATACGCATCGTCAATACGGACATCCGGGCGTGAAACGAACTCTGTACTTCGCCAGGTTAGTCGACCCGCAGGTGTCCAGAGAAAGCGTTAAATCCGTTGTGAAGGCCTGCACAACCTGTCAGTCGATCGATCCGGCACCCGTTCACTGGGAAAGAGGAGAACTGAGCGTGAAGAGCAACTGGAGCAGACTGGCAATGGACATAACTCACTACAATGGTGAGAATTTTTAACACTCATTGATTGCGGTCCCTCCAGGTTCGCGGTATGGCGGCCGCTGCGCAGACAAGACGCGAGCACCGTCATTCGACTGTTGGAGAATGTTTTCCTGGAGCGAGGCCCACCCATGGAAATACTGACGGATAACGATACTGCGTTCACCAGTAAAGATTTTAAAGAATTTGCGGACACTTGGGACGTGCATCTGCGGTTTCGATGTGCCTACTCGCCAAGTGGAAACGGCATCGTGGAGCGGAACCACAGAACCATCAAGACCATCGCAGCCAGGAAGGGTTGCACAGTTTCGGAAGCGGTTTACTGGTATAATGTCGCCCCGAAGGATAACATTTCACCATCCACGGCGTCGGCTGATGCACTGCACAAATATCATGTCCGCGTGAAGGGCATCGAAGCCAACCCGCTGCCTGAACTAGAAGTGACTGGAGGGAGATTGAAAAAAGGAGACATCGTTTGGGTCAAAAACCCACGCGGCAAGTGTACGACAAAGTACGGCACTGGACGTGTTACGGAGGTTATCAGCCCGCAATCTGTGAGAGTTGATGGGGTGCCTCGTCACATTAAAGACTTGCGACCGGTGACGCAATCACTACCGCTACCGAGCGATGAAAGCGATTCCGAGTCTGGGAGTAGTGAGCGTTCAATCTGCCTTGAGTTAGACCTGCAGGGCAGCGATTCTGATAACAGCAGCCTCTCGGCGGACACAGTGTTTACCGACACTCAAACCACAGACGAGAACACGCACGAGGATGAAGCTTGTGTTATCCCCCTTCGGAGAGGGACTCGACGGCGACGATCGCCACCTCCCTGTCCTGTTTGTGATCATGAGATCAGGGGGGAGTGTGGGGAAAATTGTGAAAATGGCCTACCTCGGAAACGCGTTCGAATCTGCGCAGTATGTAAACACTGGTCCTTCCAACTGTAAAAAAGAAAACCAAAATGGCGGCGCCCGCGTTTTATGCCGAGTGGTTTCGGTCAGTTAACGTGAAATCTCGTTGCCTCGTGATTCGCATGCAAATCGTGGTCGGTCCGCAGCTGTATAAAGCAGGCTCGTTTCTGCTGTTTCAAACGGAAGGCTTTCGGCTCGTGAGAAGGTTGGACGTGCGACACCGGTTTTCTTTGTGCCTACCTGCTATCACCAGTTGAATTGTTGAGTTACACACCAAGAGTCAGTTGTAAATTTGTTGTTGTTGGTGTCTTTCCTAATCCACTTTCGGCTCTTAGTGTCGAGTTGGGTCAGCGATGGAATTTACTGTCAATCTTCTGTGATCTTTGCGCCTTTTTCTGACTGGCGACTGACTTGAAACTCTGTATTTATTGTTGACTTTTTTTTCACACTGGCTCGTTATCTTTTTTTTTTTTTTTGGTTTAGCAAATCGCCTCCTTTCATTGGTCAGAAAATTAATTTCACACCTTATTGCGAAATCTGTTTTTAATCGTTTTGATCTGATTTTGCGGGTGTGCAAATCTACTTTGTGTTTTTTATTCACTTGTTGGAATGATATAGGATTTGTATCCTATAAATGCATCGATTAATTCTTTTTTCTATCTGTCTTTTAGAGACCTATGTGGCGACTTCGTTTTCTGTCAACGACATCGACGAAGAAACCAAACACTCCAGCAGCGAAGAATCGGATTCGAATATCGGGCCATCAACAACAAATGACGTCTTTATAAGAATGAAGCGACTCAATAAACGGGCAAAATTCAGCATTTGACCAATAAAACTCATGCCAATCTCAATTTTTTTTCTTCTTTCTTTTTTTTTTTTTCTTCTTTAAACTTCTTTTGAAACAAGTTGCTTTTTCTACGGCGCATAATAAGGAAAGAGTGCTTGGAAATTTTGATACTCACAGGATATATTGAAAGTAAACGGGGTCAGTGGAAAGCAACGCACACCTTACCTAGCAAGCTTGAATGGATTGCGGAGCGGGGTTTTGATGAGAATGCAAAAAGACAAAATTTATTAATAGCTACAAAGGACTGGAAATTGTGGTGAGCCATGATCGTCAACGTCCTGAAGGGACAAGGCACACAAAAAAAGAACTTTCTCATTTCGTGTCAATAGGTCTGTATTTTTAGTTTTGTCCTTTTTCTTAATCAATCCACTCAACGCAAGGCGATAATGCCACTAAGACGCAAGGGATTACTACTGTTCAAAGACCGAGGAGGAAGGGGAAGTGTGAGTGAAAGAGAATGAAAAGACTTTAGGAGGAATCGGAAACCTGACCATAAACAGAAACAAGGGATAAACGTCTACTCCTTTTCAAAAGATCGGGGAGGGGTATGAACTGGACGATAGGCGACCCTATATACTCCTATTGAAAGGGAAGTATATAGTAAAAATAATTCAGAGTTTAGGTGGAGATGTTTGAAGTGAAATACATTTTAAAAGAAACAATCCTAAACAGGAAACAGGGGATAAACCTCCTGTTAAAAAGACCGGACGATAAGTGAAACTATCTACTTCTATTGAGGCGTAGATAAATAAATAATAAAAAAAAAAACTCAGAGATTAGGCGGAGACGTTAGAAGTATAGAGTTGAAGTAGACTTTAAAAGGAATGGGAAATCCAATCCTAAACAGGAAACGAGGCAAACTGAGAATTGGACGATAGGCTTACTACCGAAACTATAATTTCAGGTATCACAGCTAATGTATAACACGAATGATGGTCTTCTATGCAACATCAAAGAACCTAAAATAAACATGATCGAATTTAAGGTTATTAAATTTTAGAAAATGTTTCTTTGTGTTCATTACATTAATTATTTGTGTTTAAAAGATCATTGTTATCTATTTTGGTTCCAAGTCCAAAAATCCAACGCTAACTTTTCACAGACCAGAGTTTATTTAACGGCATATCGACTCCTTATGGGTCATTTAATGCTGAAATTTAATTTTCTTTGGAGCTTTGAAATAAGAAATATATGACATAAGTTATTCAGCTTTCACAATTAAATACATGGCAGATGATACTCAGCTTTTGTTATTTGCTTTGATTTATTTAACGGCATATCGACTCCTTATGGGTCATTTAATGCTGAAATTTAATTTTCTTTGAGCTTTGAAATAAGAAATATATGATATAAGTTAAGCTTTCAAATTAAATATGGCAGATGATAAGCTTTTGTTATTTCTTTGATTTATTTAACGGCATATCGACTCCTTATGGGTCATTTAATTGAAATTTAATTTTCTTTTGAGCTTTGAAATAAGAAATATATGATAAACTCAGCTTTTTGTTATTTGCTTTGATTTATTTAACGGCATATCGACTCCTTATGGGTCATTTAATGCTGAAATTTAATTTTCTTTGGAGCTTTGAAATAAGAAATATATGATATAAGTTATTCAGCTTTCACAATTAAATACATGGCAGATGATACTCAGCTTTTGTTATTTGCTTTGATTTATTTAACGGCATATCGACTCCTTATGGGTCATTTAATGCTGAAATTTAATTTTCTTTGGAGCTTTGAAATAAGAAATATATGATATAAGTTATTCAGCTTTCACAATTAAATACATGGCAGATGATACTCAGCTTTTGTTATTTGCTTTGATTTATTTAACGGCATATCGACTCCTTATGGGTCATTTAATGCTGAAATTTAATTTTCTTTGGAGCTTTGAAATAAGAAATATATGATATAAGTTATTCAGCTTTCACAATTAAATACATGGCAGATGATACTCAGCTTTTGTTATTTGCTTTGATTTATTTAACGGCATATCGACTCCTTATGGGTCATTTAATGCTGAAATTTAATTTTCTTTGGAGCTTTGAAATAAGAAATATATGATATAAGTTATTCAGCTTTCACAATTAAATACATGGCAGATGATACTCAGCTTTTTGTTATTTGCTTTGATTTATTTAACGGCATATCGACTCCTTATGGGTCATTTAATGCTGAAATTTAATTTTCTTTGGAGCTTTGAAATTTATTTAGTTATTCGGCAATTAAATACATGGCAGATGATACTCAGCTTTTTGTTATTTGCTTTGATTTATTTAACGGCATATCGACTCCTTATGGGTCATTTAATGCTGAAATTTAATTTTCTTTGGAGCTTTGAAATAAGAAATATATGATATAAGTTATTCAGCTTTCACAATTAAATACATGGCAGATGATACTCAGCTTTTGTTATTTGCTTTGATTTATTTAACGGCATATCGACTCCTTATGGGTCATTTAATGCTGAAATTTAATTTTCTTTGGAGCTTTGAAATAAGAAATATATGATATAAGTTATTCAGCTTTCACAATTAAATACATGGCAGATGATACTCAGCTTTTGTTATTTGCTTTGATTTATTTAACGGCATATCGACTCCTTATGGGTCATTTAATGCTGAAATTTAATTTTCTTTGGAGCTTTGAAATAAGAAATATATGATATAAGTTATTCAGCTTTCACAATTAAATACATGGCAGATGATACTCAGCTTTTGTTATTTGCTTTGATTTATTTAACGGCATATCGACTCCTTATGGGTCATTTAATGCTGAAATTTAATTTTCTTTGGAGCTTTGAAATAAGAAATATATGATATAAGTTATTCAGCTTTCACAATTAAATACATGGCAGATGATACTCAGCTTTTGTTATTTGCTTTGATTTATTTAACGGCATATCGACTCCTTATGGGTCATTTAATGCTGAAATTTAATTTTCTTTGGAGCTTTGAAATAAGAAATATATGATATAAGTTATTCAGCTTTCACAATTAAATACATGGCAGATGATACTCAGCTTTTGTTATTTGCTTTGATTTATTTAACGGCATATCGACTCCTTATGGGTCATTTAATGCTGAAATTTAATTTTCTTTGGAGCTTTGAAATAAAGAAATATATGATATAAGTTATTCAGCTTTCACAATTAAATACATGGCAGATGATACTCAGCTTTTGTTATTTGCTTTGATTTATTTAACGGCATATCGACTCCTTATGGGTCATTTAATGCTGAAATTTAATTTTCTTTGGAGCTTTGAAATAAGAAATATATGATATAAGTTATTCAGCTTTCACAATTAAATACATGGCAGATGATACTCAGCTTTTTGTTATTTGCTTTGATTTATTTAACGGCATATCGACTCCTTATGGGTCATTTAATGCTGAAATTTAATTTTCTTTGGAGCTTTGAAATAAGAAATATATGATATAAGTTATTCAGCTTTCACAATTAAATACATGGCAGATGATACTCAGCTTTTGTTATTTGCTTTGATTTATTTAACGGCATATCGACTCCTTATGGGTCATTTAATGCTGAAATTTAATTTTCTTTGGAGCTTTGAAATAAGAAATATATGATATAAGTTATTCAGCTTTCACAATTAAATACATGGCAGATGATACTCAGCTTTTGTTATTTGCTTTGATTTATTTAACGGCATATCGACTCCTTATGGGTCATTTAATGCTGAAATTTAATTTTCTTTGGAGCTTTGAAATAAGAAATATATGATATAAGTTATTCAGCTTTCACAATTAAATACATGGCAGATGATACTCAGCTTTTGTTATTTGCTTTGATTTATTTAACGGCATATCGACTCCTTATGGGTCATTTAATGCTGAAATTTAATTTTCTTTGGAGCTTTGAAATAAGAAATATATGATATAAGTTATTCAGCTTTCACAATTAAATACATGGCAGATGATACTCAGCTTTTGTTATTTGCTTTGATTTATTTAACGGCATATCGACTCCTTATGGGTCATTTAATGCTGAAATTTAATTTTCTTTGGAGCTTTGAAATAAGAAATATATGATATAAGTTATTCAGCTTTCACAATTAAATACATGGCAGATGATACTCAGCTTTTGTTATTTGCTTTGATTTATTTAACGGCATATCGACTCCTTATGGGTCATTTAATGCTGAAATTTAATTTTCTTTGGAGCTTTGAAATAAGAAATATATGATATAAGTTATTCAGCTTTCACAATTAAATACATGGCAGATGATACTCAGCTTTTTGTTATTTGCTTTGATTTATTTAACGGCATATCGACTCCTTATGGGTCATTTAATGCTGAAATTTAATTTTCTTTGGAGCTTTGAAATAAGAAATATATGATATAAGTTATTCAGCTTTCACAATTAAATACATGGCAGATGATACTCTTTTGTTAGCTTTGATTATTTAACGGCATTCGACTCCTTTGGGTCATTTTTGAAATTTAATTTTCTTTGGAGCTTTGAAATAAGAAATATATGATATAAGTTATTCAGCTTTCACAATTAAATCGCTTTTGTTATTTCTTTGATTTATTTAACGGCATATCGACTCCTTATGGGTCATTTAATGCTGAAATTTAATTTTCTTTGGAGCTTTGAAATAAGAAATATATGATATAAGTTATTCAGCTTTCACAATTAAATACATGGCAGATGATACTCAGCTTTTTGTTATTTGCTTTGATTTATTTAACGGCATATCGACTCCTTATGGGTCATTTAATGCTGAAATTTAATTTTCTTTGGAGCTTTGAAATAAGAAATATATGATATAAGTTATTCAGCTTTCACAATTAAATACATGGCAGATGATACTCAGCTTTTGTTATTTGCTTTGATTTATTTAACGGCATATCGACTACTTATGGGTCATTTAATGCTGAAATTTAATTTTCTTTGGAGCTTTGAAATAAGAAATATATGATATAAGTTATTCAGCTTTCACAATTAAAT